GGGACCGCCGCTCGTAAAACCCGCAGCGCCTGAGCCGGCAGGGGCTGCGCTGCAGGGAGTTGGGCTTAAAGAACAAAATCTTTCTGCGGGCTTTAGCTTGATTTTAGCAGGCGGCGGGGTGTTTACCAGTCTTTGCTTTTTTCGTTTCAACTGTGTGTGTTCGTGGGAAACGGATCAGCCCCCACGCCCAAGCACCGCGTGGTGCATCCAGGCACCGTAGGGTGCCCGTAACCGTTCCGCTGATCCCAGCGCCGGCAGCCGCCGCGCTGGCGCGCAGGGAGCGCGGCGGGAGCGCGCGTTAAACCCCCCGTGAGCGGGAAGCGGGTCAGCTCTTCCTTCTAACGTGTCTCAAGCCCAAACCTCGGGGCTGGAGTCACTGGCACGGCAAGGGAGACTCGGATAGTTTCAAGCCTTCGATTTTCTCCTTCGGATTTTCCCTGCCTCAGGAGAGACCTGGGGGCAGCAGGGAAAGAAGCACGGGGAAAGTGGGCGTGGGGCCCGCGGGCGGGCCGGCAGGGCAGGGCTGTTCCTGCAAACACCTCCTCAGTGTCGCGCGGTGCCTTTTCAGTGCCTGCCCTGAAATACCTGTCAAAGAATCGCGGCAAGAATTTCAGCTGGAAAGGTCATTATCCTTTTTTCTTTTTTTTTCCTTGAGCTTTTGTGCCTCTAATCCTCCTACTCAGTAAGTAACGATTGTACCAAATCCATACAGCCGATTTCACCATTTTTTCTTACTTCTAATAAGTTTCTCTGCTTCATGTTTCGCTAAAGGTTAGGCAGGCTCAATGCCGAAGATTCTGCGATGCTTAATCACATTTTCTAATCCAGTTACATAAAAATTAAGTGAATTAGATTAAAAATGACTGGAAATTTGTTTCTCGGATGACAGCTGTGACTGAAACCAGAGTTCCTGCAGTAGTCTAATTTCAGGAAATTTTCCTCTTGTTACTACATAACTAGAGGTCGAAGAAGCAGTTCTGCTCTGGAATGGCGAGATGAGCATCAATAGCACCGTGCTCCCCTCACCCCTCAGAAATATCCCAGCTAGGGCGTATAGGCGTTGTGCTGTATGCACGACCTGGGAAAGTTTAATGGACTTCACCCAAGTGCTCGACAGAAGAGAGAGGAGGAGGAGGAGGAGGAGGAGGAGGAGGAGGAACCCGTCTCCCGGCTGGCGTAAAGGCGCGTCGCTGGGGCGCTGCGAAGGCTGCGGATGCCCAGCATCCTGGCCTGGAGTGCCGGGCCGGGGGGGTGGGAAGGCGGCTCTCGGGCCGGAGGCCGCGGGCACCCCGC